AACACTCTGCTTTCTCATGGGCCATCATGGAAAAGATTCATGGGGGGAGTGATGGACCAGGGCTGGTCTGCTTCATCCTTGGGCATAATCTTTACATGGAGGATGTAGTAGGAGGATGAAAGTCTCAACAGACTATTCACAGAAAAGTGAGAATAGGGTGGAGGCAGGGAGGAGATGGGCTGGATCAGGACACCAAGAGGACGATGAGCTGAAGGCTTGCAGGTGTCTGCAGGTGTCTGCAGCACCACGATGTATCCAGCCACATTCCCTGCAAGATCAACAAACCAACCAGACAGGTTGCCACCCAGACTATCAGGATGGCTAGCATAAAAGTCCTGAATGAGACCACGGTCCAAATTAAAGGATGAACCCAGAAACACTGCTCAGGCCCAAATCCTTGCCAGTCCACTAAACCTAGGCGTACGCTGTATGAGTTTTTACCTCTTTCTTGCTGATTCTTCAGTCCTGTGAGAACTTTGTGGATCGGGCCGAGTTTCAGCCTCATGGTGCATTCTGCGTCGTGTAGTATACAGGGGCCAACAAGGGGTTATTAGCCCCGCCCATGACCTCCTGATCATGAATTGCAAGGTCAGGAGAAAATCAAATACATTTGACCCTCATGAGGTGTTGGTGGGTAAATCCAGCTGTTGGCAGATGTTCACAGAGTGATCTCAACTGGACAACAGTTGGGTTTGAGACGCCTTCAGTGGCAAAAGGTCCAATGTGCTTCATCTGGGGAAATACTGGGGGGTTATTATTTTTATATAGTTTTTATCTCCCACACATGTGTGTTTTTCTTGGTTTTTTGTTTCTTGATATCTCAGGCAGACATTCAGTTGGTTGATAGTTCCACAATTAAGCTGCTCATGGAATGTGCACGGATTCAGAGCCCTGTTAAACAGAAGAAAGTTCTTAACTTCTTTAAGAAGGAAATGGTCCAAATAACTTTCATCCAAGAGACCCACCTGAGTAATGAGGAACAGCAGAAATGAGAGAGAGAGCGGGTCGGTCAGATGATTGACTCCTCCTTTACATCGAGGAGCAGAGGGGTTGCTATCCTGATCCATAAATCCTTGCCTCAGACTGAGGTGAAGGTCAAGAGTGATAAAGTTGGACGTTACATAATGATCTCAGGGTTTCTACATGGTGACACTGTTTCTTATTTAAATGTTTATGCTTCACCGATATGTCGTCCTGACTTCTATACCAAAGTATTCTTAATAGCTGCAATGACTTCCTCTGGTGAGATAGAGCGTTTAATCTTTCTGGGTCTGCGAAGCCTGAGGCAGAGCGATGGTTGACAGAAAGTTCTTCCTCAGGGACTCAGACTGAGGCTAAGATTCAGATTTATTTCATAAAACCTTAGAAAACATCCATCAGTGTTCCTACTATAAAGGACTACTTTACCTGACTCATCTTTTACTGCAGAAATAGCTTGTGAGTTAGTTGTGGACTTAACCAAGTTTGCCAAGTATTTATTGGACTTATTCCCAAACTCTTACACTCTATGTTTGGCAAAAAAACAGGGATTTCTGAGCCTCTGATGACAAAAGTGTTTCCAGAGCTGCTTTTATGGCGTCAATTTGAGATCTTAAGTCACTGGAAGGATTGATATGAAATTCTCTCTGAAGTTTCTTTAATTGTTTCTCCAAATTCAGCTGTTCTGCCTGCTTCCTGTGCCTGAGATGAGCAGAAAAAGATACTCTAATGCCCCTAGAGGACATTGGGAGAGACTTCTGGAGAATCATTCTCAGCCAAAAAGAGCTTGAATTGCTCAGTAAAGTATTTTATAAAATCCAGATTTTTAAGTAGGTGATTTTTTTAAATGCCACTGTGGCGGAGGGCGCTGTTCTTTAGTAAACATGACCAGAAACAAAGGAGCATGGTCTGAAATAACAATATTAGCCATTGAGCATGAAAGCACTTTTGAAAGGGCATGGCTAAGAGTGAAAAAAATAATCAATCCTGGAGGAGGATTTGTGCAGAATCAAATGAATATTGTTTGTCTCTGTAGGGTGAAGGGTCCTCCAGGTGGCGATGAGATCTAAATCCTCACAGGAGCCCAGAACTGACTGACTAGAACGAACATTAGGTCTTGACCCAGTATGACATTTACCCTGCCTGGGGTTGAGACAGCATTTAAAATGACTGAGGATGCTACTATCCAATCAGAAAACAGGGAGATGATGAACACCAGATGAACAAAGTAAGGTGTCATTTCCTCCTCGAACTCGGAGTTTACTCCTGGCCTCAAAGACAACGCATTAGTTTTATGGTCAGAGAAGAGTATTTGTACAATTGGAGACCTGGTATCTGAGGCAAAGTCAAATTTGTATTGGGGACATCAATCCCAGATGGTAGGTGGGGGGATCTATGGCTTCGTTCTCCCGGCTGCTCGGTCACCAACGAAATTATGGAACAACAATTTAAAATCACCCGTAGGCTCCAGATTACAACAATATCTGGAACAAATTTAACCCCACATTTTTTCGAAATACTGTAATAATAGCAAGATCTCAGAGGGATCCCCCCGAGGGACTTATCTGGTCTGAGATTCCTGCAGGGAACCATACTTGAGTGTGAATTCAACCAATTATTATAGCAACACTGTAATGCCTGAACATCTGCTTATGTATCCTTTTAATCAGAGGTGTCAAGTAACGAAATACTTCGTTACTGTACCTAAGTACACTTTCTAG